TATATTTAAAATCATATGAAATCCAAACATGATCCTTCAATGTAATCAGTTTTTTTTTTTTTAAATCACTTTTATTAGATTCAAATGCTGATTGTTCATGGGAAAAATTCTGTTTGAGTAACTGGTGAGTTACTGGAATTACGTCTTTTGTGTGTGTTTTAACTTAAAAAACACAAAAAGTTCTTAAATTAAGCAAGTGAGTAAAATCTGAGAAATTGACCATAACAAACTGCTACTTTTGCTTTGGAGCTAGTTGCTAGCTGATTTTTTATTAAGCTTTTAAAGTCAAGTGCTGTCATGTGAAGCTGCCATATATCACAATTCAAACAACATGGCACAAATCAGAGTACCAACTAATAATATTTACAGTATTTTTACGATAAATCAAAGTCAAACCTCCGCTATAAAAAAGATGTCAGATAGCAAAACAGGAAAATTATTGTGTGCGAAGCCCCAAAAGCAAAAGTAATGAAGACGTAGATTTTAACGATTTGAAAGAGAAACAGCAAGATAAAGCTGCAGTTCATATCGTAAATGCAAATGCTTTAGATTTCCTTTTAGATTCTCATTATTATGACGCCTTAATTATCCCAATTATTGGGTGGATTCAACAAGGTGCTGGAAACATTCCTCACTCACATTTTGGTCCATATTGACGCGATAGCTTCACACGGGTGCTGCAGATTTATCGGTTGCACATGCGTGATGACAATCTCTTGTTCCACTACATCCCAAAGGTGCTCTACTGGATTAAGATCTGGTAACTGTGGAGATCATCTGAGCACAGTGAACGAATCGTCCTGTTCAACGAACCAGTTTGAGATGATTGGAGATTTGTTACATGGTCCTGTTGATACGAGGCAGGATGGATTCTTTTATTTAATTTTCATTGTCATTTTTTGTTGTCATGTTTTTTGTTGTCATGTGTTGTCATGTGTTTCCATGTGCCTACAGGAAAACCTGATTTACAGACAAGCTTTCAAGAAATCATCCACGTAAACAATATAAAAAATAATAAAAACAACCCAAAATCATAAGAGATAATCCTCCATAATCGTTTTACTGCCCATTTGTGGAGAACTGTGCCAATAGCCTCAGTTTCCTGTTGTTATCTGACAGCAGCAGCCGGAGTGGTCTTCCTGCGGCTGTATGTTTCTTGTGCATTCAGAGGTGCTCTTCTGCAAACCTTGGTTGTAAGGTGTGGTTATTTATTTACTGTTACATTCTAATCAGCTGGTAAAAATCTGGGGATTCCCCTCTCAATGCTCACAAGGAAAGAGTCTGTTTTTC